AAAGTTCGGCGGCTATGATAAACCGAAAGTTGTCGTAAAACGCGGGCGAAAGCAAAGCAGAGGGCGGGCGCTTTTTGCCGCAGCGATGCCCGCAGCCTGTCGAGCAGCTTCCGCGGCGCCCATGCGCCGCGGGGTTGACCGACAGCCGCGCCTCTCGCGCCTCCCGTGCCACGCGCGGCGACGCGCACCCTGCGCGCCAGTCGGCGCACTGGCAGCACTGCACCAGCCAGCACGGCGTGGAGCAATGCATCCAGGGCATTGTGTTGGGCGCCAACCAGCATGCCTCAGGACAGAGCAAGGGAGCATGCTGCGCACCCTGGCGCAGCGCCAGCTCGCCTCCAAACAGGCACTCTCACCTGCGTAATACATCCTCAAGTTGCTACGACCAAAAATCCGACTGGCCTCCCCCCCGGCCACTCACCATTCTCCCCTTCCCCCGCCTCCCCCGACGCCGGACTCTACCTGAACCCCCTGCTCTGCCCCCCGACAGGGGAAATGAATAGCTCTCAAAACGATGGGCTAGCCCATCCCGGCGGTGGTTCGAATCCACACAAGCCGAAGGTGACGGTGGTAAGTGTTCGGTGATCTCAGGCCCAGTGAGGTAGTGCGCCTGGGCCTCACCTGATCATGCTGAACAAGCTCCTCTTGTAGCTCGATCGGTCACACCGCCATCGCCGTCGGGGAGAGGGGAGACGACACTGCCTCGGCAGCGTGCACCTCGATCCTGTACCGTGTTTGTTATGACCCCCCCCAATGAACACACCAGTGGAGGGTGGGCGAGACGATCGAGGGGTCCAATACCATGCGGAATCGACCCTATCAAGTGCTCAAGGTAGGTAGGTAGAAAGGACACTTAGACCCGCTCAGCCTCGAGGCTCAGAACTTAGACTACTACCCAACCAGCGTGTACGCTGTCCAGTGTCCACCCCCTACTTCGTTTTTTGACTTTTTTGTCGCATGTCGGCGCCGACCGCCGACACCGCCGAGCATTTTTGTTGTAGATTTAGAGTGTAATCTGAAGGAAAGCCGTATTTTCAACATATTCTTATTCACACAAACGTTACATGCGTCGGTGACTGATTGTCTCGACCATCTTAGGTGGGAGTGCTCTCGGACACTCACAGATTATAGCCGATCATTGAGACTCCCGCAGCGCGCCCGCCCCATTCGCGGGCGCCCCAAGCATGCGCCCGCAAAGGCTGCGCGAGGAGGGGGTCCACTAATACCTCCTCCGCCGCGCCGGGCGTGGCGCTTCCGTCATTGGATTGCTCCCCTCAAAGGACGCGCGCACGCGGGGGCCGTGACGGCAAGTCCCGGAACTATGAAGAGGAGGAGGCCTCCCGCAGGGCGCACACAGCGAGCGGCGGAGGATGTGGTGGGCGAGGCGACCAGCAGCGACGTGTGCAGGCGCGGCATGCAGCGGGCCTCTCGATGAGGGAAGAACGCGATCGCGAGTCTCCCCGTCCCGCATGCCTCGTCCCGGCCCCTCCCGCCCTCCCCGGTCGCGCGCGCACCACCCCCCCCCCTCACTCGAGCGGCGCGATCGCAAAGCCCGCGTCGCCAAGT